CATTGTCAGCCAGGGACACACAGGTGCCCGTCATCCATCCATCCATCCTATTGTCAGCCAGGGACACACAGGTGCCCGTCATCCATCCATCCATCCATCCTATTGTCAGCCAGGGACACACAGGTGCCCGTCATCCATCCATCCATCCATCCATCCATGATCTTCAGCAGGGCTGCTTGGCTGAACTGGTGTTCTGCTTCCAAATATGATTCACTTTTAAATATGTGACAGAGCTGAATAAGTGTTTGGATCGTCACCTTGCACCATGGTATACGACGCCTCCACGGAGGACAGGTTGGTGACGATGCTGACGTCGTTGTCCCTCTTGGAGCTCTCGATGTCGATGCTGATGGAGCGCTCGATGTCGTAGTGCAGACTGATGACCACGCCCGTAGGGTAGGTGACGTTGGTCAGGTGGCCCTCGCTGTCGTACCTGCACACCGTGGAGATGACAGAACACGCCTGAGCTCCCCTCCCGACACCCGGAAGATCAGGGCTCGGGGTCTGAGTCGGCGGCGAGGAGCCGGTGCCCGTCACACGTTTGTCTCGGGTTGTCACATCCCTCTCCTGGTGCGCGATCGGGCCACACGGCGAGGGAGCTCTAACAGTCTCTGTGTGTCAGATCATGGATGAGGCGCAGGCAGGAAGGGACAGGTGGCAGAAGGAGAGGAACTAGCAATATATAGCCTGTGAGCTGAATATGGGAAAAACATGGAGGCTTCAGGATTTTACAGTGTGCTGTGAATTAAAACAAGCTCTGAGGTCAAATTATCACACCGGCGACTACTAATGTCAGCCAGGGACACACAGGGCTGAACGCTTTACAGTTTAGTACCAGACTTTCTACTGAGCCAGTGGGCAGGATTATCCACCCGCCATCTACTGCAATGCTGAGACTCTCTGGGTAGGATGCCAGTCCATCACAGAGTACATACACACTCACACTTTGGGCAATTTTCCAGTTCACCTAATTGCATTTTTTTGGACTGCAGAAGGAAACCAATCTGACTTGGGGAGAACAACACAGACACAGACACACAGACGTCTGTATTCATATCTTTGTGGGGACTCTCCATTCATTTCTATGGGAAAAACCTTAAACCCAGCAATGACAACCTTAACCCCTACCCAGCCCTAACCTGAACCATAAGGAACCAAACAAAATACACGATTTTGGGCATCTTCGTTTTTTGATTGCAGTCACTGTTTTTTTATAAAATTGAGTTCCCTTTGTGGGGACCGAAAATGTGGTTCACCCCCCCCAAGGATTCAAACCCCTAACTCAGGAGGTACATGGCTACAACAAACTCTGATCCAGCCAATGACATTAGCCATGTACTCTGGTCATGTGATCATGTAACGTGGCACAGCAATAGGCAGGAATATAGCTAAAATGCAATGCTTTCAAAACTGTGGAAGAACGATGGATTGGAATGACGATATGACGTGTGGAGTTATGACGATATGACGTGTGGATCATCTAACAACTGGGAACAGCCTCCATCAAAGGAGGTACGGTGCTTGAAACAAGATTTGTTTTCACACAAAGAGAATCTGATGCGTGAATCCGATGCTTTGTAGGAATTACCTCTGCTTTACGTCGTATCTCAGGCTAATCTGTTCATGTCGTACCAAAGGCTTTCCGGGGACTCATTCTTACAAACATATTACTGTAACATATCAATTTCCTCTGTTTTTAAAACCAGCTTGAAAACAGCTTCATTATCTAAACTGTCGATTTTGCCTCTGAGATCGTTAATCAGTTTTATTTATTTCTTCAATAAACAAAAGCATTTAATTAAATCCAGGGAAAGAGTTACTGTTCAGGGAAAATGGTAAAAAAAAATCATTAAATCAGAGCAACAAGTGACAATTTTAATATACCTAAAAATTAAGGTGATGTGACCGCTGTTTCCCGATGCGGTCCTTGGAAACCCGCAGACTGTCACATTTTTGCTTCCAGTGACAAAACAAAGCAAAATGCATGTGGACTATCTGGGAGGGAGCAAAAATGTGGACAATTTGCGGGTCCTTGAGGACTGGGCTGGGTTACACTGGTCTACACAAAAAAGACAAACACGGTGTTGGAATTTGCATTGCAACATTTTTTTTTCCCTCCAAAAACAATTCAGTTGCGTGCAAATGGCCGATCGTGTCCGATTGTGTTTTACTATGAAAAGTCATACTCACTCATAGAAGGTGGTCCAGCCCGTCTCCTCTGCCTTAGATACCAGCAGACCTGTGTTCCCGTTATAGCTCAGCAGCGCCACCTCGCGGTTGAGCGCGGAGACGGAGCGCAGGCTGCCGGCGGGGTCCAGGCCCAGCGTCACCACCTGGTTCTCCGGCAGCAGGATGAGGCGCAGCAGTCCGGCGCCACTTGGGCCCGCCCCGTCTCGCCGCACGCGCACCGTGTTGTTGCAGTTGTCGGCCACGGCGGCTAGCTCGCCGTCAGAGGCGTAGGAGAAGTTGTAGAGCGTCTCCCCAGTGATGAGGCTCACCGTCTGCAGGTGGAGGCCCTCCTCGTCGAAGACGTACAGCTCCTGCTCGTGGGCTGAGGCCACCTGGAACTGGCCGGTCGGCGTCGGGTGCGGCCAGTTGGGGCGCACGGCGCGGATGCGGATGTTGTTGAGGTCGGCGATGAAGAGAGTGCCGTCCGGCGACACGGCCAGCGAGGTCGGCGAGTTGAGGCGGGCGTCGGCGGCGTAGCCATCATCGCCGTCAAAGCAGTTGCAGTTGACGTCGTTCTTGCAGTCGCAGTCGGACGCCGTGCCGGCAAGCAGGGAGATCTCGCCGCCCGTGCTGACCTGCCGCACGCGGTTGATCTTCTTCTCGTCCGTCTCGGCCACGTAGAGCACGCCGGCGTGCGAGACGGCGATGGCCGTGGCGCTCTCCAGCGCCGCGTGGATGGCCAGCTTGCTGAGCGAGTAGTCGATGCCGGGCACCTGGCAGTGCATGGGCCGCCCGGCCACGATGCTCACCTGGTGGTTCTCGGTGATTCGCAGGATGACGTTGTTCTCCAGCACGTAGAGGGAGTTGTCGATGGGATTCACCGCCAGGTCGGTGGGCCACTCCAGGCGGACCTGAAGATGGATGGTGGCGACGAGCTCCGTTACAGGCGGATTCCTCGGGATAATCGAGCGAGAAGTGGAGGAGGGGCGGCACTAACCTGGCTGACATCCATACTGGCGTCACAGCTGAGCGGCCGCACCGCCGTGAGATCGTTGGTCCTCAGCAGCGTGGAGATGATGCCGTTCTGGTCCACCTTGCGGATCATGGTGGCGTCCACGAAGTACATGAGGCCGTTTTTGTCAACGGCGATTCCTGGCCAGGTGGGGGTTGGGGGCTTAGTGCAACAATCACAGTGTATTCATATACTTATGCCTGTTTGTGCCAATGTTTGAACACACTCTAATAATTATTACCAAGACATCAAGTCGTGCAGAAGAAGGAAATCCCAAAGTGAGAATACGGTCGGGCTACATAAAGCTTCACTGGCATCCTGCATGTCTGTCCTGCAGAGCGGCGTTTGAACGGCTGTACTGCGTCTACGACCTGCTGCTTCCCACTGTCGAACCCATGACAAAGAGACTCGGCTGGGAAGTGAAACGGCTTGGGCAGAATTGTCAGCGTAACGTTTGTAAGCCGCTAAGCCAGGGGTGTCATACTCCTTGATTAATTAACCTTTTAAGCTTCAGTTGAACTCGTGATGCATTTGTGGAGAGTCTCTCATTTCCCCCCCAATGCCCTCCAAGTATTTTGGTGAAACTACATCGAAAAATGTTTTTGAATAATTTTTCTAATGATTTTACCCTTTCGCTCAGCGAATTCAGTAAATGTCCATTATTTCCTCTAATCTCCTATTACTTTTGTCATTCTTAACCCTTGAACAAGTAGCCTATAAATAATTAATTAAGCTAAATTACATTGGAGTGTCACAGTGAGCCAACGAAACGGACGCGCATTTTATTAAGGGAACGGAACCAAATCCAATCTTCAGTTAATAATCTGTTTTGACACAACTGACAATGATGGTGAGTCATCGATTAATGTGCCTCTTCGGCACTTTAAACCTCGCGATCGGCTCAGAATTATTCATCCCCCAGTAAAGCAGCACTTTATTAAGGGGCAATTCTAGCATTTTTTTTTAAGCTGGGGGTCCATACGCTCCCTGGTTACTCTGCTGTAGCCCATCCAGACCAAGGTATTCGGAAGAATCCATGCTAACAGTCTTGCGCTTTCCCTGTTAATCCTGGAGAGCGTGGACTGATGGGTAACAAGCAGGGGTCATGTGCGGGTGAGGGGGGTGGGGTGCGAGCGTGGGGGATCGCCCAGGCTGGTGGCGGGAGGTACAGCGGAAGCAGATGGCACCAGGATGCCAGGCGCTGACACGCTCAGCATCCGGCAGCAGGACTGGGCCGTGACAGGTGTGCGCGGGCAGGTGACGGCGGGGCCAGACAAACACGTGTGGGTCGCTCTCCTCGTTCCGCTTAACACCGGCAAATTACCCGCCGAGCTGCAGGCATCGGCACGCGCCGGCAAAAGGCGAGAACTTTTACCCGGGCTATAAATTCCCCACAGAGCTGCGATAATCCCTGCCGTTTCCGAGCCGCGCTTTTAATTTCATTAAACGATCTCAGATGTCGCTCAGCTACCAGAAGAGTCGCAACCCGTGGATTCTAATCTAATTCTTTAATCGTTAATGTAATGAGCCTCCGGTCTTAAATCCCGCCCCACGCCTCACCTCGCGGGCTCATGAGGGTGGCCTCAACGGCTCTGCCGCCGTCCCCACACCGGGCCTCATCGAAGGGCACGCACTGCTCCCCGGTCCCGGCGACCACCTCGGTGTTGTCCGACAGCGGCCTCGCTCCCGTAAGTGAGCGCGCCCGGAAGATCTGCCGCGAGTTGGTGTCCGACAGGAACAGCATCCCAGATACTGGGTCCACGGCCAGGTAATACTTGTGTGCTGGGTTGCTGCTGCAATAAAAACACACAGAGGCCGGACATCACCGACAAGTCCCGCCCATTTCCTCCGCTTCCCACCGCCGTTTACCAACGCCGTACAGAAAGGTTATGCTTATTTCCCCCAGCAGAGGGGAAAAAAAAACGCACAGCTTAATACATATCAAAGGAAATGTCATGGTTACGATGGTAAACAAAGCCAGATGCACCTTAAAAGAAAAAGTCGCACAAACACACACGCTCCCTTACGCTCCGTCAGAAATGGGACACCCCTCATTCCACGCCGCGATGATGAGTGAATTACCGCATGGCTCTGTCAGTGCTGAAGTGAGACGGAGGGACTTGTTAACATCCCTAACGTGCCACTGGCCACACGCCGCTATGAATGATCATGAAGAATCAATGAATCGTGATGATGTCATCATCGAGACTGCTGAACTCGCTTCAGCTGAACGACTTACCTGTGTCTGAAATCCTTATTTCTTGAAGACAAAGAATAGAGAAGAAAAACAGAAGTTAGTTAAAGCAAAACAAACTACAAAGATGGGCAGACAATATAAATTAATAGCAAACATCTGGGTAAAAAATATTTGCTATTTAAAGAGAACTAACCCACTGGATATTCTTTGGGTGGGATGAGATCTAATACCTGTGAGTTTGGACACGATCCCTTAGCAGGAACCTGCTACATGGACAGATGAGAGATCACTGCAGTCTTTCCAACTCTTGGGGGTGCTTGCCTGCCCCCCCCATCAAGGCACCGCAGCCCACCTGAGCTCCAGGATGGCGGTGGTGTTGAGGGAGGGGTACACCCTGCGCACAAAGTTGAGGTCGCCGACGTAAAGGCTGCCGTCGATCCCGGTCGCCAGGCCCACCGGCGCCAGCAGTTTATTGGCGTCGGCCACGCCGTTGCAGCTAGGGCAGGAGATGCTGCGCCGCCGCCCGTTACCCATAATGCTCGTGATGACCGGCGGCTGCTGTGATACGAAGACGTTTTCCCCGCTGCCCTTGTGTAGTATCCCTGTAGGGGGAGCAGCAGTCCCTGTTTTTAGGAAACGCCCGCATTTAAACCATGCATTCAAAGAGCGGTCGCTATCCGTGATGTCATCAGGCGTGATGTCATCAGGCGTGATGTCATCTATGCGACACGTGACCAAAACCAGTGATGCTGCACTCTGTGCTGCTAATTGCCTGGTATCGATTTTGGGTTGTTGCATGACCTCACTGGCTGCATTCAGGACGGCAAACCCATCTGCTTGGGTCTTTTTTAATCGGCGCCTCATTTAAAGGCAGCCAGGATTAAGCATTTTTATATTAATTGTCTTTTTCTGCCAGATGGCACTGTATTACCCGGGGAAGTGAGTAATGGTGAATAAACACCATCCACGACCGTTTAAATGCGGCACTTGCTGCACAGTGGAATGCAACGGTGCTCTTGGATGCGGGACTTTCTCCTAATTCGGGAAGCGGTGGCTTTGACCGCAGGCTAGTCTCCTGCGTTCTGGCCTACGTGTGGGGGCGGGGTTTGAGGGCCACGGCTCATACCACAGCGGATGTTCAGGACGTGGTGCTTGTCCAGGGACCAGCCGCCCAGGTGGGAGGGCACCAACTCGAATCCCTGCAGCAGCACTGTCCGCTTCTCCCACAGGATCAGGTTGGGACACGTCTCGTACTCGTAGCCGACGGACACTGGGGAGCGAGAGCGTGTGCAAGATGCACTCACTATCTCCGTGGATACGTTGCAGCCATGCATTTACTGTAATGCAATCAACGGGATTCCTAGTTTCGTTCCAACAAAGCTCAACGGCAGATCCTTCTCACAAAGTGCCAACACAAAGACAGTGAAACACACGCACATCCTCTGCTAGAAACTTCCAGAGACTCCCCTGCGGCCGTCGCTTTCAGTCAACGGGACGACTCCAAATCCCACTCCACCAAAAAGAAAAAATTATAAAAAAATAAAACGAGGTCTATGCAGTTTGTAGGCATTTTCTGAAGATTTGTGCCCACGAAACAGCAGCAGTCCAGGCCCAGCCCGTGTTTCAGGGACGGCAGATTAATAATGTATGAATGAACATGATTTATACAGCGTCAGCTCTCCGGCTCCTGGCACAGTCCATGTTCAGCGCTCGTATCACATTCACTCTCAGGGCCCTGGATCCAGCAGCCTGGCATCTCTGCCTGTCCCACAGCCCTGGAGCAGGCTGGACCAGAACCCCATGCCGGGTCCTGAGCGGGCCGATACTCTCACAATGTCACATGGGTTAAATGCGGAGGACACATTTCGTTGTTGTGCGCTGCGCGCTGTGGTATATCAACAATTAAACATTTTCACACACACACAAACAGTCAGACATAAAATGCTCGCGAGGCAGAGCTGTTCTCCTTGTCCGGACATACCCATGTTTACCGTGCTAAATTACTGGACTGGATATATTTTTAAATTACGCTCTGTGTGTGGGTTAGACCTCTGCGCCTGTGATCGGAAGGTCGCTGGCTCAAATCCCATGCTTGGCAGAGTAGCCACATCTCAGCACTCTACCCATTTTGGGCAAGACCCTTAAACCTCTCCCCCCACCCCCTCCAAAAATGCTCAAGGATCCTGGATGAATGAACCCGACCCCAAGGTTCATTCTCACCTCACATGTTTGTGAGCAAGATGGGAAATGTCAATAATAACATTCTATTTTACCTGCTGTTGTACAAATGGCAAATGAGGCTTCATTTCGTTCAACTTAGAAAGTACAAAAACAATCTTTTCATTCCGAAAAATAATAATAAAATACAACCCCCATCCATAATCAATAATTATAAGACATGATTAATTCACAGGGCATAAATGTTAACATGAATCGGGATTCCAGGAGCTGTACGGAAGCATTGAAGTTTCAGGTCATCAGCAATACTCACCGACAGCCTCCGCCAGCCCATAGACCTTCTGGCCGTAAGCATCCGTCTTGCCCCAGATGAAGGTGTAGGCCAGGTTTGGGGACGAGTGGAACCACTTCTGGAAGAGGTGGCCCTCGACGGCCACCATGAGGTGCACCTTGGTGAGGCTGAGGGGCACCAGTGCCTGAGTCATGATGATCTTCAGCAGGGACTTGTAGCCCGGCGCCCGCGAGCTCAGGTAGCAGAGCTTCAGGCTGGTGCCGGGAATCTCCACCTGCTCATGGAGCACCTGCAGCCCGACGAGGAAGAGGAAGAGGAGGGAGAGACTCGAGTCAGTGTATTTCTCCATCGCTGAAGACCGGTTCCAATACTAAGAACAGAAGTACAGAGGATGGTAAGTATCCCCAGATATCGTTCTTGCCATCAAGGACACATCAGTTGCATCCTTGCCAAACATGTCCAATCCCATAATTCATTGCGGCCCAAGTTAGCAAGACCGGTCCTGCCGAGACCACAAGTACAATCTTCGCGTTCTTGGTGCTGAGAGACACCTAGAGATGCAGTGTCTAGGGAGGAGTTAGGAGAACATCACCCCCCGCTTACCTGAGTTTCGGGGATGATGGGCTTCTCCCCCGGGTGGGAGCTGTAGAAGGAGGAGAGCGGCGAGGCCACTACCACGGGGTCGGGCCGCGCAAAGCCGCTCAGGTCGCAGCCGGGGATGGTGTTCTCCTCCGTCTTCAGCACCAGCGTGTCCATGGCGTAGAAGCTGTTCCAGGGCAGCCAGACGGTGCGGTCCTGGCTCAGGAAGGGGGCACGCTCGAAGTGCAGCGTCAGGGAGCCCCCGCCATTGGCCACGAGGTCGAACCTGGGCAGAGTAACGGGAGAAAGAGGGGACGAGAGGGGAAGAGGAGGCGAAAGAGAGGGAGAGAGTGAGAGCGGAAACCTCAAAGAGAGGTTGCTAAAAACAGGCCTGGTTCCATTGGGGGGGTGGGCATTATAAGCCTTGCCCACCACCACCCAGTTACCTGTATGCAAATGCAGTTCCCTTCCACATATCACATACATAATCCAGTGTTTCTACACAGCCTGGCAACAATCGGGTTTTGTTCTTCACTGCTGCCTTTCCCTTAAAACGGCCTATGGCCTATTTGCTGTGCCGCATGCCTCAGATACAGCAGGCTTGGGTTTCACTAACTGGCACTCCTTCATCTGAAGTCCTTTAAAAGGCCGTTCCTCATGTAAATCGCCTTGGCCTGAATGGTCATTAGCAATTCACCGCGAATTACATTTATGTATTTTAAACAGCCCTCTGTTGGAAAAAGTTTAAAGAAATAAAAACGGTCCAGCTTTCATCTAACGGTGAGTTTGGTAGGAGTCAGTGTTATAATCGATGGCCATCAATCTTCACAAGAGCCTCATATCAGCCCACACTGCTCACACGCGCGCAGACCAAGGATTACAGGAATCGCACCTTTTCTTACCATATTTTCCTCAAATATTGGTAACGTTTCCTGCATTTTTATCTACTGGAACAACTTGGTCCACGTTATTGGAATGCTTGGTTCGTTAACCTCCTTAATCACTAACTGTGAAACAAGTAGCCGCTAACGATGGTAAACAGCTAATGCTACAAATCAATCCGACTCAAAGTGAACGCTGCTCATTCTTCAGCACGATTCTCCCTAGTTTCACTAATCGTATTCCCACACGAGTGCAAACATATATTTTAGCTCCCGTAAAACGAAACATAGACAATCCAGGAATAGCGATTTTTAAATTTTCTTTTGCTTTAAATAGCATTAAGAAAATCAAAAGTGACACAATGCGCAAGTGTAAGCCAATAAAAAAATCTGTCAGGATCCATGAGGAAGAAGGTATGGCGTTATGTAGGACACGCGACGTCACTCACGTTCCGTCCCGTCTTGTGAGGGTGTATCCATACTGGGGGTATTTCACGAAGGAGACGTTAACTCCCACCAGGGGACTCCCGTCCTTGGTGAGAACCTGCCCTCGAATCAGAGACGCCAGACTGAAAGACCACAAACACAGGAGCCAATCAGATGAAGTCGTCAACGCCGGGCGACCTATCAATGCCCAGCAATTCATCAGTGCAATTAATACTACTGAAAAGTAAATAATCCTCAAGTCCAACTGGTGATAACCGCAGCACATAACCCAAGAGTCTAAACAGACCTATCAAAATAAATCTAATCAGCCATAAATAATCAATCTAATCAGCCATCACTCTTGTGAGTGTTATCAGTTATGATCTCAGTGTACCTATTTCTTGTGCAGTGAATTAATTACTAGGGTCTTTGAAGACGATCAGTGCAATCAGCAGTAGGTAATCCATGGGTCCAACTGGTGATATCAAACCAAATAATCCATGGGTCCAATCAGTGCTATCGTGTTTAAATAATCCATCAGTCTAATCAGCCCTGCTTGCAGCACGTCAGTGATTAGAATCAGTGTAAATAGTACCTAAATCCATAATTCTAATTACAGCTACTGCCAGTGAGTCAAAAACAGTGCAATCACTCTAAATTTTCACATCCCCACACTTATCCAGGAACCTCCCAACAAAAAAGGATGTAGCGATCAAGTCTGACAAAAAACTTCAGAAACCAAATCCCGTGAGTCCTTCTGTTTGGTGATCTGTAGTTATTGCCAGGTCCGATCGCTTTTACGCTGTTGTTATGACTGAAAAGCTGGGTTTTCTGAGTAACAACGCACAACAGTGTCTGGTTCTGTCGCGATTAAATATTTATTCGCATCTTTGAAAAGCAAAAGATGTTTTGTTTTTGAATGACCTGTCAACCATCATCTACCTGTAAATGCTCACAAGAGAAAAATCCTGAGAGGTCTTGCATTGTGCGGGTTGCTTAGCAGCCAAAGACCCAAAGCAAATGAGACCCAATTCTGCATGAAAGAGGTGTGTTTCCCTGACTCTCCAGGAGGTGGTGCTAAAGGCAGGGTCACCTGGCGTTGAAGGGGTTGTCGGCGAGAATGATGTGGGTTCCGTCCCTTCCCACCAGCACTTTCACCCTGTCGTAGAAGGACCTCACTTTTTGAGCTGATGGTTGTGTCTGTTGAATGATCTCCAGAGGGTCACGTGACCCCAGACAGAGCGGATTGGTCTGGCAGGAAATCTGGATGCAGCAGTCTGGATCCATGCAGTCTGTTAGTCCATCTGAAAGGCAAGAGATACAGATGACAGGTGGCCAGACGGATCCGTGGAGACCTAACCGTTGGCCAGGGTAACTCGTCTTGTGTACCAAGTCTGAAAAAGCACTGATTTAATTATCAACTCAGTCATTTTAAGGAAATGAAATTAAACTCAGCATCAAACACAATTTAACACTAAACAAGTCTGGCTCATTATTTTGGTAAAATAATATTACGTCAAATTATTAATTCTACTGATGCTTAATTATTTTCACTATATTATCTTAAGTGTGTTGACTTCAGCAATCATGTAGCCAGCAAAATTCTTGCATCAGAAAATAATCCCATCAGTTACACACTTAGAAAACTTGTCAAAGTCAAAGAGGACATCATTCAGGCACAGAGAAGGCTCTTGTTTTTAATCTCTCTCCCCAAATGCAGCCCCCCTCCCTTGACAAGCCCCCCAGTTACCCACACCCCGCCATACTGACAGAACGGAAATAAAAACAAAATGTGTCTCTGAAAGACTTCAGATAAAGCAGGGAAAAAAAACTACAAGGAGTAAATCTGAGAGTTCCTGCAGTGAGAGCTCAGCAGAACAAAGATCTACAGGCGAATCAGACGGGAAGATGAGAAGGCAAGGAGACGGAGGAGGAGGAGAGTTATTTAAAATATTCATCAGTCGCATGCTTTACGACTGAGAAAAGGCCAGTGGCTGTTTCACTGGATGCAGGAGACAGTGTCTGTCAACCTGAGTCTGAACTTTTCATTTCATTACTATGGTTTCACAACATCACACTTAACAGTTGAAAATTGTTATTATTGTTGTTGTTATTGTTCCCTCACACCTCTGGGACCAGCGTTCCGGTCTCCGCCACGGCTCCATGTGTGTGGAGTTCCCATGCTCTCCCCGAGCTGTCGTGGGGTTTCCTCCAGGTACTCTGGTTTCCCCCCATAGTCCAAAAACATGCTGAGGTTAACTAGAGTTGCCAAATTGCCCCGTAAGTGTGCATGTGTGTGTGTCCTGTGATGGGTTGGCGCCCCATCCTGGTTTATTCCCTGCCCACAGCTTCTAGGCCAAGTGGTTGCAGAAAATGGATGGATGGATTATTATTGTTATTATTATAATAACCCCATTGGATTTAAGGGTGCTGGGGAACAGTGTGTTGGGTATTCCTGTGAGCTGATGTCATCTCACCCGCCTGTGTGTGTGCTGTTGAGTATTCCTGTGAGTTGATGTCTTCTCATCCACCTGTGAGTGTGCTGTTGAGTATTCCTGTGAGCTGATGTCATCTCACCCGCCTGTGTGTGTGCTGTTGAGTATTCCTGTGAGTTGATGTCTTCTCACCCGCCTGCGAGTGTGCTGGTGGTTGCATACATGTATGTGTGGTAATATTTACCTCTTCATTGCCCTTAATTAGACTGGAGTCAAACTGAGCTATGATCCTGCAGTGGTTTCCCTTACGGGACAATGTACCTGCCCCCCCCCCATCCTCCCTCATCCTCCCTCATCCTCCTCCATGCTCCTCCATACTCCTCTATGCTCCTCCACACTCCTCCATGTTCCTCCATACTCCTCTATGCTCCTCCATGTTCCTTCATACTCCTCTATGGTCCTCCATGCTCTTCCATACTTCTCCATGCTGCTCTATGGTCCTCCATACTTCTCCATGCTCCTCCATCTCCCTCACCTTCCTCGTTGTCCTTGTTGTCTGCACAGGAGGTCTCCATGGCGACACTGCAGCCCGAACCCCTCCATCCCATCTCGCACTCGCAGTGCCAGCTGTTCTGGCCCATGGTGCACTTGCCGTTACCGTTACACAGGTTCGGGCACCCATCTGGGGGGAGGAGTGGGGGTGTGACAGGGGAGCGGGGTTAGAGAGAGGGGGGGAGGACAGGAGAGACAGAAGGGCACAAAGAATTTAATGTTCCCCCAACAGTCGTGTGACGTCCACAGACAAACATTTCTGCAGACACAGGCACCCCACCGTGGTCTGGCATGTCCCACACACCGAGCCGTGGGTGAGGAACCTACTGCAGGGGCAATCGCCTCCTGGAAGCTTCTTCCATCTGATTCACAAATTAAGGGGCACGAGAAGCATGTGTGGCGGTCGGCGAGCCGATCCTCCAGAACCTCTTCTGAGGTATGGAGACAATGACTTAGGAGAGAGTCTGATATTGGCTGGGACTTAATAAGATAAACACAAAGGTCCATTTATTTAGTGCGGACTCTGATGATGCAGTGGGCACTTGGGGGCAGACTGGTGGTTGCTTTGTGTTCAGCGGCCGATTGGTCTGTGAAGGCCGGAGCGCGGAATGCTATTGTGCGGTAACTAAACCAAAAACGTCACCGGCATTACGCTGTAACATTTGTGCTACCTTAAATAAAAGAAAGTAAAAAAAAAAAAAAAAAAAGAAAGGGATGAAATTCGAGATGTCAGGAAATCAAGTGGAGAGCTGTTGCAGGTCAGATCCAAAACCAAGAAATCCGGTAAGTTCATTAACGGCGTCTGTGGGGCAGAGCAACATGTTTATCGTTAATCTGACGGATCCAAAACCTGCTGAACGAAAAAAGATTAAAAATGCTGAAAAACCTTGATGTATTTGTACTGATCGTTGAAAACATAAAGCCTTTCCAGCTTATAAAATTGCACAGCCCAAAGGCTGTTCTAAATGTACCCCAGAGCCGTATTAAAAATGTTCTTGCATCTGATCCCCACTGCCTAGGACCTGTGAGAATATCAGAGCAAGTAGCCCTCCTTGGATTTCCCCCCCGTATCGATCAAGAAAATTGAATTAGCGACAGTTGCACCGTGTATTGAATTTCCAGTTTCAATTGTCAAATACTCATAAAGCATTTAAACAAAATCCATACCCAACACCCAACACCCTCCTTCGGACAGGAATCTAACCCCCCCACCCCCACCTCGCTGCCAAAAATGGCCTCAGCTTCCTTAGACCACCTAAAATAGAGGGGGTTTTTCGGAGAGGGGGGGGGGGAGCAAAGCACGAAAGAGTCAATTAATCAAACTGTCAATTAGTCAATTAATCCAACTGTCTTCAGCGTAACTAATCAGCGGCTTCACATCATACAATCATCCAGCGTAATTATGTGTAAAAACTCTAATAACATACATAATGCTACATGTAGTGATACAGAGCTCTGGAAAAAATTAAGAGCCCATGAAAAAAATGTTCACTTTCACTCATTTTTAAATGCATGTGCATGTGAAAAATATACATTTGTAAACTCCAGCCTGGTTCTTCCCTGCTTCTCATTAATGAAGGGCTTCTTCCTTGCTTTATGGGACTTCAGTCCTGCTTCTAGGAGCCTGATAACCACTTAACGTCTCCCGTTCCTTCTGAAGGTCGCTTGATGCCATCCTCTGATTTATGAGGCGCCGTCGGACAAGTTGACGGTCGTCTCTGGCATTAGAAAGCTCTGCCCTCTACCTGGCTGGTTTTTGGTCATTGTCAGTGTCTCCTGCTTCACTGTCTTAGAAACTCTGAGCCTGGAATCAGCCTGTCTCACAGTGTAGCCTCTGCCAGCAGGACCAGGATCAAACCAGGATTTTAAAAATGCAGATTTATTAGAAAAAATATAGAGTGGTCTCTTTTTTTTCCAGAGCTGCATATATATTCATATGTATCACCACTACTATTTATTAGTAACTGCATGTGCAAAAACTGTTCATGCTAATGTAAGAAAAATATGCTGTTCCTTAAGGCTATATACGATTTCTTCACTCTCTCAGACAGGAGAGTACATGTATGATGTAGGATTTATTATCGTATGAATGTACACAACACACTCAAACACAAACTATCACATAAAAAAAAATTCACGTTCTTGATTAAGAGTTCAGGTTTTGTAGATAGCACTTATTTCCCCAGCACACTAAAACATATCATGTATAGCCTATCAAGTGAGACGCATTTCAATTTGTGCAAGCAGAACTGAGAGATGGTACTGACTGACAGCAGCTAAATGAATGGAAATTAAGATGGAATAAAATTCATAACGATGTGACACATTTGAAAATTCCTTCCCTACAGTTTGCGATCACCGCTTTTGATAAATCTCATTACACCTTCATGCACGCGCATCCACCGCCCGTTTTGTGACCCGCTAGTTAAAACCAGCGCGTTGCATGCGGAATTTATGCATGGACAAGGACGCAACGGCCGCGCAGATATCACTGTCAATCATCATTCAATATTCAGTCCAGTGTAAATCCATATGAGGGCGCAATCTCTGCACTTGCAGTGGTTGGATTTGGGCTTTAATTAGCAGAAAGACAGGAAAAGTCTATGCAAATCGCGCGAAAGAATCCTATCGGATAACTGGAGAAAGTGTGTGCATAGTGCGAAAATAAAAATAAGACTAAATTTGTTCGGTAAGTAACAGCAGGCGGTCAGACCACTGTCCGTCCACTTTGACACTCATGAAATTTAACAATGAGCCGAACTCAGTAATATTTCTCACCGGTTTATTATTTTTGCAGAGATGGCCCCACCCGCTTATATTCTTTCCTTAGCTTTGCATCATCTGGACTGCTGTGGTAGACCCCCCCCCCCGCCCCGCCCCCACTGCAAACGAGAACAAGCGGCTCCCAGCTCTTCCCCCGCTGCGGCCGAACGCGAGAGTCTGAGAAGGGGAAGGGAAATCGTCGCTTAGCCACAGCTCCGAGGACACCGGGAGGCGACCCGTGTATAAGCTGCGGGCACACGCGCGTGCGCTTACATGCAGTGAATCGCAGTGAAATACACACCTTACGGTGGGAGCAGAGGAGCTGCGTGATGCGGAAGATGAGTGTTAGTGTTTCTCAGTCCTGGTGATAGTGTGTGGTGCGGTTCAGTCCAGCTGAGGTTTTAATTAGGCACAACTGAAACTTGATGCTAATCAATGAGATATTTTACTATATTAAATCTTTATAAAGAATGTGTTTGCTGAGGATTTGCTATAGTTTTGAAATATAAAGAACATTTATGTATTGCTGGTTTCATTTGTTATATAATGTCTAATAAAATACATGCACATTATTATGTTAATAGCAGTTGTGTTTAGATTTTTCAGTTTTGTTGGACGGGAATGAGTGATTAAATAATGAACACTGCTTTATTCATTTTAAAGAGGGAAATCGAATATATTTAGAATCTTCTATATTTCTTCATCACTGCAGTTACTCCTAACACAAACTGGAAGATGAATTGAGGTCTTCAGGAAACACACTCTGTCGAATGTGACTTGAAATTGCAGGAATAATTCAAACTGCATCTCAAGCTGCCAGTTAACACAGACCCTGGCTGGACTGAACCCCCCCCCCCCCCCAGGGACCCCACCCAGGGACCCCACCCAGGGAACAGTGATGCAGGTGCTTCTTGCAGTGCAATGGAGACGCCGCCCTGAAATCCCAGGCGCAGGACTGTAGTGGGACCCAGACGACCATGTCCACCAACAGCAGCGTTATCGGCACAATAAAACACAGGGACTAGTTAACAGGCAAGTCTATCTACTGCGCACAGGACAGAAAAACACTGCACAATACCGCGTCTACAGGGGTGACCAGCTGCGCTTTCCGGCGGGGAAAGCGTTCTACAGGCGCCCAGCTAGATCAAAACACAAAGCGAGGCAAAGGGAGATAGAGATACAATACCTTTGTCAAGCTTATCCAAATAGTCTGCGTTAAAGACAAAACATGCAGATTTTCAGACAACATGTTTCATGGGGAGGTGGGGGGGGGGGGTGAGGGAATTCACATGAGTGTGGAAAGTCACCGAACATGGGAAAATCACATAGACAGTGAGGATGATACGGGCATTACGGGCGTGACACGTTTTCTGCATTTCAGGGGAAGAAAAAAGGCACAGATCAGGAGAGCCTGCTGGGATACAGAGGGGAAGAGGCAGGAAGTCGCCCAGCGGAACATTCTGGAACCCAAAGGGGGCCGAACATGTGAGGTGAGCGATCCGGGCAACCTAACCCTAACCCCAGCACGCAGTGCCCCGCAGAGGGGGCCGAGCAGGGCCACGGTAATGCTCAGTTTCACAGGAAGAACCTGATGCTTTTATCTTTCTCCCTGGAATAAAAACGTGGGCCGTGAACTATAATACATTTAATTATCAGTGACGCACATTTACTGCTGGTCCCTCCAGGGAGTTACTACAGAGGAGCAGAAATGCACGCATGTCTCGATACTTCAAAACACCACTGATCATTATATAAAGAACTAAAACTCAGAGTTGAAAAGTTCTGATTCAGAAAGTAAAAATCCAGACCGAGGTTTTGTTTCAACCAACCAGTTGAGTATAAAGAGGTACATTCACAGAGTACTCAACTGGTTGGTTGAAACAAAACCTCGGTCTGGATTTTTACTCTTGGGACCTGAACTTTGCACCTCTGGTTGTGTGTCAGGTTGTGATTGGCTGGGGGTAGGATTGTGATTGGTTGGCTGCAGTGACTAGGTGTCAGGTTGTGATTGGCTGGCCGCAGTGTCGTGATTGGCTGGGGGTAGGATTGTGATTGGCTGGCTGCAGTGACTGGGCGTCAGGTTGTGATTGGCTGGGGGAAGGATTGTGATTGGCTGGCTGCATTGACTGACTGGGTGTCAGGTTGTGATTGGCTGGCCACAGTGTCGTGATTGGCTGGGGGTAGGATTGTGATTGTCTGGCTGCATTGACTGACTGGGTGTCAGGTTGTGATTGGCTGGCCGCAGTGCCGTGATTGGCTGGGTGCGGATGGGGGGTGTGTTTGCCTACCGATGGTGCAGTGCTCGCCGTTCCAGCCCTGCTGACACTGGCACTTCCCGTCCTTGCAGGTGCCGTGCTTCATGCACTGTGGGCTGCAGACGCGCTGGTCGCAGGCCGCGCCCGTCCAGCCCTCCTCGCAGCGGCAGGCCCCGCCCATGCACACTCCGTGGGCGCCGCAGTCCACCGAGCACACCTCTGTGGGGGGGGGGGGGGACACGGAACAGGCACACGGGCTCAGACACACACGTGTACACACGCATACAGCACACCACGGTCGGAGTAAAGGCACCCGACGAGAGCAGCAGAGCCAGGAACGTGGTCATGTGACTTTAGACGTTCTGCTACCTTTAAGAACAGAGGAGGGGGGTTAGGGTGCTAAACCTGTGATCGGAAGGTCACGGGTTCAAATCCCAGCATCGGCAGACAGATTTCACCTCCGGGCCTCTGAGCAAGGCCTTTAACCCCCAAGTGACCCTGCTTTATCAAAAGAGTACACTGCTTTGGATAAAAGCCTCGCTAAAATTAACGAAATGCTGGTACATAGCTTTCAGGGTTCCCTATTTTCAGAGGTACGGAACAGTGAAGCAGGGCCTCTGACTTAAAGAGCTGAGCGTGTGCATAAAGCGGGGGATTGAATAATGACAGGTGTCATCGTGCTGTATGACGGATGGGCAAACTAAGCATCTATCCATCCATCTTTCACTGGCCACCATGCCTGCCCCCCCCCCCAAGATATCAGGAGGCCTAAAATCACATGCAGTAAATCCTCCTCCCTGCTCTCCAAGGTGACCTTCGGAGCTACTGAGATCACAGCATTTTATCTGGAAAGAGCCGAGGATGAACAGCCACGGCGGGCCGGGCCGCGGGGGGGCGGGCGAGACGCTGACCCACGGAGCAGTCGGGGCCCATCCAGTTGGGGTCGCAGCTGCACACGCCAGTGTCCGGGATGTAGGCTCCGCGGCTGTGGCACTGGTCGGGGCACTGGGCGCGGGGGGCCTCGCAGAGGGGCCCCGCCCAGCCCGGCTTGCAGTGGCACTCCCCCTTCACACAGATGCCGTTCCCGGAGCAGACGGGGTCCAGGCAGTCCACTGGAAAGACGAAAGGCGGGGAGCGTGAGGTGAATGTCGGCGAGCCGTCGGGCAGATCTGCAGGCACCTCAAAGCGCGAGTGATGGATTCCCCCGGCAGCGGCCTGGACGACTCTCACGGGGCTTCAAAAAAAATCACGCACATAAAATGGCAGGGTTTATATATCGCGGCGGAAGCGCTACGATCTGAGCCGTCCCGTCTGGAGTGGCACAGTGCCAGGATTGATTCTGACCTCCAGTGTGACAAGGGTATCTCGCCGCACGAGCGAAGAAAAACTATTTTGTGGATCCGCAAGCCCTCGACTACCCTGTCCAGCACGCCTCGCTTCCATTATGTTATCTGGCTGTGACAGAACACCTTCCGTGTCTCCCCCCTTGCCCCCACCCTGCCCCCCCCCCTCCCGCGCTCCTTCAGGCGGGGCCATAGAAACAACTCCTGCTTATGCGGCAGAAATTCGGATTGCGGGTATCGATTCAGGTGTCGCCCGGGCTGCAGGTAAATTGGATGGGTGACTAGGAGGTAATGAATATCGGGTTAAAAGGAAAAAAAACAGGAGCGGCAAGAAAAAGAGCGACAGAGAAGAGATAAACAGGATGACGGGGAGGGGGTGGGGGGGGGTACCCAGACCAGCCTCTTTCTGAGTGTCTGCTGTTTTTAATCACGTCGCCCTTTTCTCTCCTTTCCAGGAATGTTTTCCACACGTCTTTCTGCCTGATAAACCGGACGTGCCAGAAACCCGGGAGCAAATGAAACGTCGAGGTTGCACTCCTGACTAATGAAATCAATAGGCTGATCTACATTACCTAATAAATTCCCCATAGTGCTTTGCTGCACTCCTACACCCTCTCCCCTTGCCATGGCTGAGTGCCCTGCTTGTTAAGGGGAGCAGCATGTGATGTAATGCCACTTAATGACGTGTGACGGGCGCGGATAAGAGGCCTCACCCTCCTCACAGCTTTCGCCTTTGTAGCCCGTGTTGCAGACACAGGTGCCCTCCGTACAGGTGCCCTGCCCGCTGCATTGTGGGTCGACACACTGGCTGGCCGTCAGGTCGCATTCGGGACCCTTCCAGCCGCTGTAGCAGACGCAGACGCCCTTGTCGTACTGACCGTTTCCGCTGCACAAGACCGGGCAGGCAGCTGGAGGGGAGAAAAGCAGGGGAGGAGAGACGGAGGGAGGGAAAGGATGGTGGAGTACAGGATGGAGGGAGCGAGAGGGATCAGGAGGGTGGGGGGATGCGGAGAAGAGGTGTAGGGTAAAGGGAAGTGATAGAAGGAGGGTGGGAAGAAGAGAAGAATAAGTATAGAATGAGGGATGAGGAGAAGCAGTGTAGGAAGGCAAAGAGACAGAGAGGAAGATAGAGAGACAGAGAGGAAGGCAGAGAGACAGAGAGGAAGGCAGAGAGACAGAGAGGAAGGTAGAGAGACAGGGAGGAAGGTAGAGAGACAGGGAGGAAGGCAGAGAGACAGAGAGGAAGGCAGAGAGACAGAGAGAAAGAGCCACACAGATGGAATTAAATAAAAGACACAGTAATGTTCAGGCACATTTCCATGTCCAAGGAGTGTAATAATAATGATAAATGCTCCCCCCCTGCCCCTGGCAGCCCCAGGCAGACAGGCAGCCCTCTAAGTGTTTGAACAGTGTTATTAATGAGCAGGGAGAGATGAGGCAGTGCGTCGGGGCCCTAAAACAGCCCAGGAAGGGCTGCTTCACGCCTTTCCCTGTCAGGAAGACTTAAGCGCCGAGCTTGTACCATGTTGCAGATCAAGTCAGCTTCAGTAGGGGGTGGGGGGCATCAAAACGAATGCATTAGTGCAACAATGAATCAGCGGGACGGGGGGCAGTTCAGCGGGTGTCGGTCTCCCCTCTCATCTCCCCCTCCCTCCTGACTGGTTCCCTCCCCCGCCTCCTACCTTTGGCGCAGTCCATTCCGTGAAAGCCCGGGAAGCAGTGGCACACTCCAGACACGCACTCGCCGTTGCCATGGCAATTCTGGGGGCATTCTTGCACGGATTCTGCGAAGGCATGGGGAGCTCGAGTCGGATAATAATAATATGATAATGAGCCATCGCTTATGTGGCGCTGGCATATTTATTGAGCCCACATTTCTTCAGCCATCCGTCACAGGCCTGCCCCACCAGCTCAATCCCCATTTATCCCATTCCCCTTCTCCGGTTGCTCACGCGGGTTTCCTATGTGTGTCTGGATACCTCTAAAAGCGGGGGTCACCCCACGCCTTAGCGCCTCACCCACCACAGGAGCGTGAAGGATAGTTATCAGTCACTGGGGGGGGCAGCACTGTCCCAGCTGCTGATGGGGGGGGGGCTTGACCTGTGTCTACCAGCAGGGGGTGCTGCTGCTTAGGTAACTGAGTAGGCTGAAAGACTTACACCCCCCCCCCCCCCCCCCTCCTGGGGCAGGAACATGCTAGCTCTGTTCCAGTGCTACTTAGCTCCCTGTCAGGAGAGATGGATGACATCGCTCAGCACGGAGCTGGAGAAGGGAATCAGAACCCCCCCCCACCACTAAAAGCTCCTCCCCCACCCCTTTGCCTGGTTCACGTCCCCAGTTTGGCCTTCATTTCCTACTATTTTTACATGAATATGTCAGTGTTGGTTAGCAACCACAGATCAGAGCTGGGTCCTGCTGACAGCCATGGGGGACTGAGTACGCAGAGTGGACATTGGTTCAAAGCCTCTTAAAATCCGGTTATTTACTTTTCTGAGCTCCGGTGCAAACTCTACTTATTCTGATCACTCAGTTTCCAGTATGGATATTAGGCATCTAATTGTACATGACGTCAGGCTTACAAGAAGCTCGGAGCTCCTCGAGTCTCATGGTCACGGACCCAGTCTTTCTCTCCACGCCAGGGATCGGTGACCTGGCCTGACGATTGGCCTCTGCCTCACTCTGTACTGCAGGACCCAGGCTTAAAAGAAAACACTAGCTCAGGAGCTCCAAGAGCTTCTCGAAGATCTTCCCCCAGTAACAGGTCGACGGAATCGCGGACCGTGAAGAGCGAGGACCCACCTAGCACCACGGTGTTGAAGGAGACCATCTCGCGTTCTTTGCCGTCGTTGTAGAAGGCCAGGTGCCAGCTGCCGGGGTCCAGGTGCTGCACGAAGACGGCCTCGTTCAGGACCACCGTCTGCACGCTGCGCCGTTCCCGTGGCGACTCCACCACGCTCCACTTCTCCCGGCCGTCTAGCCGCTCCATGTAATCATACTGTCCGGGGGAGGGGGGTGGGGGCACAATGCCATCAAATTGCCGGCCAGGGATTTGCTCCATGTCCACATGGATGCCATCAGCTGGGGCACTTTCTCATTTCTGGGACTGAAAAAGTCACTTTTGGGCCCCTGAGTGCAGTGACTCTGTGTGGCCAATAGGGGGCCACACGTAAATGCATGGCTTGAGTTTTGCTAAATACTGCCGCTGGCCACCAGGCCCTCTGGGAAAGATCCACACCAACACACTTTTCAGACTCGGCTGAATGAGAGGCAGGGAGGGTGTGGATGCTACCAAGGGGGTGGGGGCTGGGGGGATAAGGCCCCCAGCTCACTGATAACCACCATTTAGGAGTTTAGGGTAAATTCTCTTTCTGGCTGGAGGGCAGGGAGATACCGGCTCTGCTCTTTAATGGTTATTGATATGCTCGCCGAGCCGGTTCAATCCCAATTGAACCAGCCGTCCCACCCGTGTCTCATGGGGCCACTAACTGTCTCGAAGGGTGAGTTCATCCCCACACACATGCATAGCGGGCTGCGCTTGAACCCGTGACCCTGGAGGCGTGTCCATGTTTTCAGTGGTCGATTAACAGCCCGTATGCTGCTGCAGACACTCAGAGAGGGGTTTGTAAAATTACCCGCCAGCTCTACCAGTAAGGCGGTGTCCGTTACAGCCCAGTCACCCACACTTACAATTGGGGGATGTGGAGTCAAAGGGCTGTACCCAGTAACACAGTGTCAGGACAGTGTACGGAGAGGTGGGGCACCTGTGCATGGGAGGGAGGTAGCCCCTTGCGGATGTAGACCCCGAACAGTGCGTCCTTGCCAAGGGTGATATTGAACTTGAGGAACTGTGCCTGGGTGATGTGCAGCAGGGACCTCCAGAACATTCCAGGGGGCACCTCCTGGGTGACCCGTCGGCCCAGCTCGAGTTCACCTGTGTCGATGCTGGTGTTTCGGGGCATCCAGGGTCCTGCGGGAGATGAGGGGAGGGAGTGACCTGTCACGGAAAGGCACAAAACACACAAAACACCCATATCTCCGCACTCACACAAAACACCTGCATCTGCGCATGCACATGAAACATCTGCATCTCCACACGAAACACCTGCATCTCGGCACACACATGAAACACCCGCGTCTCCACACGCACACGCAACACCCGCATCTCCGCATGCACACAAAACACCCGCATCTCCCCATGCACACGAAACACCCAAATCTCTTCATGGACTCGAAACATCCACATCGCTGCACGCACACAAAACACCCGCATCTCCGCATGAACACAAAACACCCGCATCTCCGCATGCACACAAAACACCCGCATCTCCGCATGCACACAAAACACCCGCATCTCCGCACGCACAGAAAACACCCGCATCTCCGCACGCACAGGGCTCAGGGCCAGTGGGCAGGGATCTGCCTCCATACATTTCACCGTGTGTGAACTGCCTGTGTCATAACCCCAATCCCTGTGTGAGATGGCTTACTGTGAAAGTCTCACTGCTGAAACAGTGGTACCCAGACAGCCCCCCCCCAAAAAAACCCCCAAAACTAACTCATGAAATAACATGACTTTCTTATGTTCACCCTGTACAACAACACGTGAATTAGTTACTTTTGGCAAAGCCACCCTCTGAAGAATTGCTGGAGCTGGGATGACACACAACATCGCATTGATTCCTACTATCGTTGCATCATGTGACCATAATTCTGATTTACAGAGTACATCACGTCGCGCGGCGCTGGCCAAGGGCATGAGGCTCTCCCTGCCGCCGTGTTCATTGATTTCTAATCCGCCTATTTACGGCTCATTCTGCCAACAGAGTGACCGTCCGCTGTTGGGGGTGTTGGCGGGGAGGGGGGACGGAGAGCTGAGAGAGGCTCCGCGTTTCTGTAACACCTGATTCAACAGGAATCAGGTCACACATACACAGGGGACTGAACCCCAGACAAGGAAAGCCGAAGAAAAATAGTGAGAAAACAAAAAAAAGAAACACCCATGAAAAGCTCATTAATACTAAGCTCCTCCTGCCACCTCATTAATATACACCCAGGATGGGGGGAGGCATGACCATGGGGGGGCACCAAATGGGAGAAAAGCCAAAAAATAAAAGCAAAGAAGGGAGGAAGCAGCATCTCCCAGAAGGAAAGTTCTGGAAAAAGCCTGGCGCCCTTAAATCAACCTGTCTCCTTCCACCCGCTCCTTCCCTCTTCCTCCCCGTATTCCCAGCTCCTCTCCATGCCGGTACGATCCTGTTACTCAGATTTCATCAGCCGCGCCACCTAAATCCGCCGGCCTCCGAACATCTCTCCAAACACGGAGCGGGAGGGAATTTACGGCCCCCGAAAGACTTGCCGTCTCCCTCCGTGGACCGAGCTGGCAGATGCGGGGCCCGGCAAGAAAAGCCTCCCGTCCCGAAAATCCAGTAAACAGTAAATTAAATTTAGAGAGTGTTTTCACAAAGAAAGAACATCAGCACTATTTGACAGGCAAAGCGTGCGTCTCTGGGGCTGGGAGACGGCATTAAAAGTAACACGCACTCTGAAATGCAACGCTACACGTCTCCGTCGCGGTGCTGCACGCATAAATGCACAATCGCAAACTCCATGCGTGTCAATAAAAGTGGAGCACTGCAGGAGTGAACGCTGAACCGCAAAGGGTCACAATACCTGAAAAGATCTGACTTTGTGTTTTTTAATCAACACACACTTTCACTGGGTTAATTGCCTAGGTTGTTAGGAGTAGCTAATGGAGTGTAACACAAACAACTCACTGAGATCCTGCCTCAAGGACCGACCACACTGATATCTGTCGAGGATTTTTTTTTTCTCCTTCTGCTGCTGGAAATAGAAACAAACCGTCATTCTTACCTCTGCCCCCAGAGGGCAATGTTGTCACGTCGCTGTTGCTTGGCAATTGCGTGCCGAGCCTGTTGCTGACCACATGAGCATTTGAGGGCTGCAGCCGCCAATTGAGTCCAAGCAGGTTCATGGCTGTAGGAGAGGAGGGAAGGGGGGGGGGGGGATGTATCACTGCCTTTGACACTTCACAGCCTCTATTCTACAGCATTTTCCACATGGTGACTGCGCTGTATTGTGGCTGCGCACCACGAGCCGGCAAACAAGCTCTGCTGCTCTTGTTAACGCCTAAGTACCTCAGCTGCCCTCACCGTGCGCCCACAGAGAGCCCAGCGCTACGGACCAAGAGTTCATATCTGCTTTAGGAGAACTCGGGTGTCCTTAGAAGGTCTGGACGACGTCTCCTGTAGGAGGTCCTGCTCCCCCAGCAGTCACATCTCCTTCACAAAGGCGATTCTGCGTGGGCGACTGGCGATGCGTCTCGCAGGGGAGGTGGGGGAAAAACGCCTGTCCTGGCCAATGTATTTACATGCATCTTAAAGGGTAATATATGGTAGGTGAGGCCCAGACCATCATGGTGTTCCTCACATTCCTGTGGCAGCAGTAAATGCAGACTTTCCGGTGGTTTCACGTGAAGTTGGACCTGTGGATATTCAGGCGCATGCGGCACGCGGAAAAGAAGAAAATAAGGGGAGACCTTCACAACTAAACGGGAACGTCTGACGGTGGAGCCCCCCCCCCCCCCCGATGCAGAAGTCTTAAGATTAACTGAAAGTGAGCAGGAGAATGGAAGAGAAGAACTCCTTCCATCGTGCTGTTCCTTTAAGCTCCTCGACTGCCTGGATTCTTGCTTGAGGACCATCTCTTCCAAGCCGCGCTTCTGCAGGCCCTCGCCTTTACTCCGACTGCTGCTTCTCCGCTCCTCCTTTCCCTTTGCAAACGCTGCCAGGTACATTCCGAGATAAAATGAGGCAAAATGTACAGGAACTGTGTCCAGCTCAGGGACATATTTCACAAGTGTCCCGACACTGAGTAATGTGTGAGGTTGCAAAGCCAAGCAGATGCCCTGGGCTGAAGCACTGGGGGGGGGGGGGCTGGTCACAAGGCCAGGGGTGGAGAGCTCAGGTCCGGAAAGTAAAAATACCAAGATTTTTTTCAATGAACCAGTTGAGTAAATGGACTGCATTTATATAGTGCCTTTCTACTCCTATGAGTACTCAATGTGCTTTACAATACATGCCTCATACTCACACACACATTCATACACTGGTGGCAGAGGCTGCCATGCAAGGTGCCAACCTGCACACCGGGAGCAAATTGGGGTTCAGTGTCTTGCTCAAGGACACTTTGATGGGGTCAGGAGGAACCAGGGCTTGAACCTGCAACCCTCTGGTTGCCAAACGTTAGCACTACCTCCTATGCCACCATCTTCCCCTTATAAAGAATCATAAAGAGTATAAGGAGTCACATTCACAGAATACAGAACTGTTTGGTGGGAACATAATCTTGGTCTGGATTTTTACTTTCTGGACCTGGACTACCCACCTCCGCTGGAGGTCTCCTCCTGAAATGGTCCCAAAACCAGGCAGCGTTCCTGGTCCGGGAATGTACAGAGAGCACAGTGCCTCTGGCTCTTTGGTCCTGGGCAGAGTTTGAGTTTTTATCGCCTGCTTGATCCATTCTCACTTCCTGTTCTGTTTAATCCCTCTCCGTCTCTCCCTTCCACACAGCCCCTCTTCCTCATTCATGCAAAAATGAAATATACATTTAAGAATGAACGGGATGCAAATGAGGCACGCAGGCAATAAGAGCTGACCTGACAGCCACGCCCCTCATCAGACGTGATTTGAAAATAAATCAAAGAGTTTAAAGATGACGGTCTGAGGTTTTTGCGGAGAGAGCCGTCCCAGTACTGCCCTGGATGTACATCTCGCTTTCCCCAAGAGGTTCTCCTGTCCGACTTGCGGCTTGCTTTGGAGGACAGCCTGACCCTGGGCGAATGGCGGCTCCAAACCTTCCTCTGCCAAGCGATGCAGGGAGATCAAACCTTGCCTGGAACAAAAGGCTTCTCTGCTTCTGAAGAATCCTATAGAAGTTTCCCATTTATTTAGGGACGGAACAGGAGGAACTGAACCTTTCCTTGGAAAAAAGACAGCTGGTCCTCTAGTAACCTCCAGCTACTGCCTCTGAGATAGCGGGACTGCCTCCTACTGGGCTGTTTTATAACTGCATGCCTCGTCACATTACACAACAAAACCAGTCCTTCTGTATCTGGATTTAACCAACCTGGTTAAGTCAGAGTACTGGGGATGGGACTAGCTGAGTCTTACACCAGAATGGGGGGGGGGGGGTCACCTCTAGTGCATTCAAACTCATTAATTATATCTCTGGGACGCCTCAAAAACCTCATACTCAGGTCTGCAACAAACATGAATTATTAATTGGAAAGGTGTTCGATAAGAAATTCATGAGAGTTCCTCCCGCTTTATGTAATGTTTATGTATAATTTATCTGCTCAAAGTGATGTATGATATTACCTACATAACATTTGAAAGATGTCCGCCACCTTTAGCTATGCATGAAGGGAATTCGGGGTTCCAAATGTAATTCCCCTCAAGTCCCTGAATGCCATGGAAACAAGATGATGGGATGTCCTCATTTCTGGAAGAGCGAAGGCTGGTGCTTTCGGCTGCAGGTTAGTGTGTGTGTGTGTGGAAGGTGGGGGGGGGGGGGGGGTAGGCTGTGATTGGCATTTTTAGCTTCCAGTTTTCCCGCTTGTTTCCCACTGTTTTCCAAGAGGATCCCGGCATATTTCCCTCCCACACCTCTCCTCTATCCTCCTGTCATGGCTACGCTTGGTGTTTGTGTAGAAGGCGAGCGTCCTGTCATTCGATGGGCCTTTTATGAAGGTGCCCGCTGACTGAGGGACAGTAATAACGTTTCTTCAGAGTGATTTTCTTTCACTGTTTGTAGAGACACATGGTCCAGGGTGACCTCTGCTACTCAGCGTTATACACATGGTCCAGGGTGACCTCTGCTACTCTGCGTTATACACAGTGAGGGCTGATGGACAATAACTCCAGGACACTCAATCAATTTTGATCAAAAGTTCAGGTCTTAAGCTCTTCTATTCCACACTGCTAAACCAACTTACAAACATGATGAAAACATGACAGATCTGGGAGAATGCGTCCATCTTCCATTTCCCAAAATTGCTTGCTGTAACCCTGGGATGTGTTCTGTGTACGTTTGTATCCTTTACATGTTACATGCTGCCCTACATGCTTGGCTCTTGTGTTACATGCTAGCCTACATTTGATCTCTTATGTTACATGACAGTTTCAGGTTGCATGCAAGGCACATGTTAAGCTCTTATTTTACGCAGCAGTCTACTAGCTAGACCCTTATGTTAGACGTTAGACTAAACGCTTGGCTCTTATGTTAGACGCTAGGCTAAATGCTTGGCTCTTATGTTAGACGCTAGGCTAAACGGTTGGCTCTTATGTTAGACGCTAGGCTAAACGCTTGGCTCTTATGTTAGACGCTAGGCTAAACGCTTGGCTCTTACGTTAGATGTTAGCCTCTTACAGAATAGCTCCTATGTGCCTTCTACAGGGACTACTGCTGAGCAAACCTTTGCACAGCAAAAGGCTAAAACTCGGGTGGCATTTTGAACTGCTGGTACCATTCATAAACTAACATCAGCTAAATTGCAATTACTGCAAAAGTCATTGCTACTTGGGAGAGACAAAGAGGCAGGCTGATCCTACACGCATCAAAACATTTCAAAACATCTCTGAAAGGCACTGAAATCAGGACACGGCACCGCCTCAATTAATGCCGTCCAGGAATTAAAAACTCAAGATAAACCGGACCTCGAAGAGTTAATTTAGTTAAAAATATTGCTTTTAAAACATTCCACAAACATGTATCTCTCATTTTCACTAGGTCCTGTAAATAATTACACAATGAATAGTCTAATTTGTCACTAAATGAACAAGATTGACCTCAATTACATCTCTAAGTGTTGTGTTTGTAATTGCTGCAGTTGAGGTGTGAATTAAACTTCCTGCAGTGTTTCTCAGCTGCATTGTCCCCGAAGACCATTTGAGTTTTTTTGGATGGACACCTCACTGTGGTACAGCTAAACCTAGAACCCAGAAATGTGCAAGAAATTACAATAATTAAAATGTCTATCCCTTGCATAATTACACTTCTTTGGTCTTTTGGTCCCATTAATAGATGCATAGTATAAAGTTCCAATCCTGGCTCTAGACAGATTATAGTTAATTTATACTTTTAACATCCATATGCCTCCGAATATCTATCCTGAAAATATATCAAGATGAACAAGATACTTTTATTATTCACTAAGGGCCTTAAACGTGTTCAGACAACTAACTCACAATTGCTAATTATTTGTTTAATCTCCTTGAACAGACGGCTGAAATTAATCCCTTTTTCTCAAACAGGAGCATTAAAAATACATGTATCTGCTTGAGTTTACACCTCGGCTGTTTTTTATGACTCAATTCACAGGCAAAAAGCAGAGAAACAAACAAGGAGCTGCAGATCTCGCTGGACGAGGGGAACGGCGTGGAGAAAGGTTAGGGGAACGGAGCAGAGAATGGCGCAGAGAACGGCGCGGAGAACAGCGCGGAGAACAGTGCAGAGAACGGTGCAGAGAACGGCGCAGAGAACGACGGGGAGAATGGTGAGGGGAACAGTGGGGAGAAAGGCAGGGAGAACAGTGAGGGGAACGGCGGGGAGAACGTCAGTGAGAAAGGCGCAGAGAACGGTGGGGAGAAAGGCGAGGGGAACGACGCAGAGAATGGCGCGGAGAACAGCGGGGAGAACAGCGAGGAGAACAGCGGGGAGAACGGCGCAGAGAACGCCGGGGAAAAAGGCGGGGAGAATAGTGGGGAGAAAGGCAAGAAAAACGGCGCAGAGAACGGCGGGGAGAATGGTGAGGGGAACAGCTGGGAGAATAGTGAGGGGAATGGTGGGGAGAAAGGAGAGAGGAACAGCAGGGAGAACACCGGGGAGAACTCTGGGGTGATATGCAGCTGATTGCTACAGAAGCCTTCTGTATGGCTAGCGATGCATCTGCACACGTCCGTGTTCACGCTAAGTCTGGAGCAGATCCCAGGAAGCAAGGCGTGCGAGGTGGGGGCACCCATGACAGGGCAGTGGGGCACTTGCTAACAAACCACAGGCAAATTAGGGACACCCATTTAGCTAATGACCTGTCCTTGGGCTGTGGGGGGGGGGGCATCTCTGTCCTCTGAAAGGTGGATTCCCACACTGCAACTAAGCCATGTTTTGCAGTGGACAAGCGAGCTTGTGTAATTTGAAGTTGCGCCCAGTGAACCCTCTCCGGTGTCCATCCTACCTGCGTAAATCGACAGTCCTTCAGCAACTCACTTACTCTATCATACAACCGCTCCAGCAAGACTTTTCGGTTCCGTGTTACTTGAGTAATAGCATATAATACCTTATATTATATATATATATATATATATATATATATATATATCTCGTATACCAGTGTTTCCCAATCCGGTCTTCAGGGACCTACACACAGTCCATGTTTTTGCTCCTTCCCATGTTCCCAGGGAAACCTTGCAGGGAGCTCGGAGAGAGCAAAAACATGAACTGACTGTGGATCCCCAAGAACTGCACTGGGAAACACTGTCTTATGCTAAAAAAAACAAACAGCAGACTCACATCTTGAGACAGTAGTGTGAGCAACTGCTCCACATCCCTCCTAGTGAAACAGCCACACCTTTCATCCCGGATCCAGCATGACCTGCCACACCATCTCCAGCCTATCCTACCACCCAAAATGCCTGCAACCTTCACCCCCCTGCCTTCCCGCTCTAGAAACGTCACCGTCGAGGAGCACCACGTCCTCACAGTCGACGAGGGGAGGTTTCTCAAACAGCGGTCTCAGTCATTCTTCGAGCAAGCTCAGAATTTTAAGTGGTTTGCTACCCAGTTGGAGGGTGATTCGGGGGTGGGGGGAGAGGTGGTTGATCAACGTGTCCAAAGAAAAAAAAAGCATTAAAACTTCTCTCTGCAGTTCGTCAGAGAACCCCAGAAGCTTTTCTGTTTCTTTCATTAACTCTCGTTGAGAGCAAACGGTTACTCTCGGTGTGTGCGCATGTCTCCTGTAAAAAAAAAAAAGTGTGTCACACTATTAAATATTCAGCTGTCGGTGCCAGCTGTCGCCTGGGAGATAAAGGCTTCCGGGAAACTCTCTGCTGTGTCTCGGCCATGCAGTCCTTCTCATCGCCACAGGTGGCGCTGTGGCGCCCAAGATGAGATCTACTTTTGTCTGCTCCCCGTGCCGGCTTTAACGGATCGGAATATCTGGCTTCACCTCTTTTCGCAAATTTTCTGGGGCTTTGGATGATAAAAAAAAAAAACTGGAAAAAAAATAAAGGGAAAACCATCAAAGGGCATATTTATGTTATAATCCCGGGCATTTCCCAGCAAACACCTTCTGGTTACAAACTGAACAGCGAGGAAAGCGACACCCGTGAATGGAACATGGAGCACGGCGATCGATGGGGGTCGCGATGATCACTCTGGCCACTGAGGAATCCATCCGAGACTCCAAACGCATGGCCGCACTCCACATCAAGCCCTCTGATTGGTCTCTTCATGCACCGAGAGGTTTCTGGGTCATGCGTTTCACGATGAAAGGATCCGACAGAAACCAGCATGAAGGAATCAGCTGTCTAGGTGTCCTGGTTAACACTAGGGGGGTGTGGCGGGTAAAACAGGCCTGACAGGAAGGGGGAGAATGAAACGAACCAAACGGCACTCAATTTGCTGGTAATATTTTTTTTGGTGATTGAATGGTCTAAACAACTATTATAGCTTAAATAGCTGACAGCTGCCCTTTAAACAAAATGCACTTCAATCGATAAACCAATAGGATCGAGACCTCTGGCTTGATTAGCAAAAGCCCCAATTACTAGGAAACATATGTGTGTGGGAGAAGTTTAAGAAAGATGGAAAGAGGCAGCCGACTCAACAGGCACATCTCTGCCTCGCGGGACTCGCACCTTCCTCATGCTGATAATCTCAAGTGCTCCGGGTTTGGTTCTTTCTCATTTTTTTGTTCCCCGCATCCTCCTTCGGCTGAATGTGGAAGGAGAAGCCAGATCAAAGACGCAGAGAAGGGGAGGCCGGCCCGGCTGCTGCCCTGCAAGACGCTCATCGTTTACCATTTCTTCCCTTTGTCTCCCCTCAATTAAAGGAAATTAGTCATGCTGTCCTTACAGGAGACGGACCCGCGGGAGTCCGCTGAGAGAGAGCCTTCATTCTTCACAACTCAGGATGCCAGGCTTGCTCTCCTTGCATCAGGACCGCTCACCTGTATCCTAGCAACCAGCATCCTCTCAGCCTGAAAATGTTCTCGGTCTGTGTCTCTCCGCGCAGTTAATGCCGAGTGAATGAAGAAACAGTTGTTTGAACCTCATCCGCAGAATTCCGGTAAATTATTCCATAAGGTATGGCATTCGCCAGTTCCTCCCTGGATCCTTAATATTCACGAGGGCCTCTTCAAAAACTTTGCGGCGCGTTTGGAAAACGCTGCCACTAAATGTAGGCAGCCGAAGCCTTGAACAAATCTTACCAGATAAGAATAAACCACACATGGTTTTGGGGATATATCTGGATGATAGGCCTCACCTTCAGGATTCATTTGGAGAGTCAAACGGCAGGTTTTGTTTTGACAAGAAATGAAGCAAGAGTGTGAACGTGCCCACCCACCCCCCCGCTCCACTGAGTGTCTCGCACTGCCGTGCAGCACCGAGGCGGGAGGGTCTGTTGGCGGAGAATCTGCAGACGGTGCCGCAGGTAGATCTTCGCTGAGAGCCGCGGTTCAGCAGCTACCGCATCCACTCGGCACTGGGTCTCGGAGGGTTCGGCCCCGCCAACCGTGGGCCTCCCCTGAGCGCCGCGTAGTCTGGAGATTATCCCAGAAATCACAAGCTCCCCTCTCCAGCAGACCGAGACAATGAACCACTTCTGCACATTATAAGAATAAATAGCTCAGAACAGATGCTGGAATAACTGCGGAAATATGTCTAAAACTGGATGATCTCTGAGATATTCCAGGTTTCTGTTTTTTCCTATTTTCGCTTTCACGTCCGCCTGTCCAACGGGCGTTTACCTTGATCGCTACACACCGGGAAGATGCCGAACTCTGATCACAATTAACGCGCTGAACTCACAATGGCACGGATGCATTGGTCTCCCGAGTATTAACAGCGCGACACAACTCCCGGCTCATTACCACCGTCACACAGAATCTTGCAGGGGCCCGGGAAAGCTGCGCAGAACATTCAGTGTGGGCCACAATTGTTTTGGTTCAGCTGACAGTTTGAGGTTCTTTTTATATCACAGCCAAGCACCATTCTCAAGGGATCCATGGGAGACCCCTTCCCAGAACTTGAACCTGCCACAACATAAACAGGCATGAAGGTCCATGACGTAAACAGCCATGAAGGTCCATGACATAAACAGCCATGAAGGTCCATGACTTAAACGGCCATGAAGGTCCATGACTTAGTCGGCCATGAAGGTCCATGACATAAACAGCCATGAAGGCCCACGACTTAACTGGCCATGAAGGTCCATGACATTATCAGCCATGAAGGTCCATGACATAAGCAGCCATGAAGGTCCATGACATTAACAGCCATGAAGGTCCATGACTTAATTGGCCAAGAAGGTCCATGACTTAAACAGGCATGAAGGTCCATGACATTATCAGCCATGACGGTCCATGACATAAACAGCCATGACGGTCCATCACATAAACCACTACACTCCCTGCTACCTTTCACCTTGGACTATCTGGTGGAGATCCCACAGGATCCCTGCTCTGCTCAAAGCTACTGTAGCTAAAGAAAATGCCGAACGACAAATTTCCAGCTTTCCAAAAGTACAACCGATGAAGACACAGTGTCCAGTGGTGACCATCGTCATACCTATGAAGTAGGAGAGCAGGACAGCCAACAGCGTGGCCGCCGTGATGGCGGACACGGCCGCACACTTCCAGCTGCAGTACTTGGACGGCTTCTTCAGCTTGAAGGAACTCCGTGAGAAGGTGTTTCGGGGCAGCAGTCGAGGCGGAGGCGAATAGACCGTTCCGGAAGTGAGGGGGTACCCTGGAGAGGAGCTGCTGAACAGCGGAGTGGTCCCAGAAGATGTTTTAAACAGAAAGTGCCTGCAGAAATGGAGTGAAAGAGATTGAGAGAGAGGAAGAGAGGGAGAATGACAAGAGGGTCACACTTGACCGAATATATACTTATAAGGAGATGGTGTTCACACAACGTATCATAGTCAGACATATGATCAAAACGTCTTTGGACATTGGGGGCTGATAAATAAAAAAGAAAAACCTGTCCCTTCACTCAGACCTCCTAAAAAATCTTTCTTACCCAGTGGCTAAAACATCAGCCAGAACAATGTGCAGGCACACGTTTCAACGGCACCCCGCAGCGTACATCTGGACGGGCGATTTGTGCTACACAAATGCTCTCCCCTGCCGTTCCCCCTCCGCCAGGCTGCTCAGATGGCACGTTAGGGCCCCCCTCCCGCACCCCAAAATGACTGATTTCGCAGTGACGGTTATTTGCACAGACTCGCTGGATGCCAACCTAAAGGCTCGGTCACAAACAGGTCACAGTCACTGCGGCGCATCAGTGTGAAGCGACAGGAATATCCAAACAAAGTCCACATGGGAAAATATTAAGCTGTTAATAGATGTAAGCTGAATAAACCATGAATATTTAACTGTGGCTGTGGACTATGTTCATGCTTGTGCTTCTTCACTGTAAATTGCGACTCCTGGTCAGGGTTGCAGGGGGGCCTGCAGTCTATCCCAGGGATGCACCCTGGATCACACTGCTGATCAACCAGTTAGGTGACATAGGTGGCTGCCTAGGACCACATTGTTTGAGTAAACTGGAGGATCCAGAAGAAACCTACACAACATGGGGAAAAGATGCAAACTTCATACAACATGGGGAGGACCTGCAAACTCCACACAACATGGGGAGAACCTGCAAACTCCACACAACATGAGGAGAACCTGCAACCTCCACACAACATGGGGAGAACCTGCAAACTCCACACAACATGGGGAGAACCTGCAACCTGGCAGCATGGTGACAACACCGCGGCCTCACACCGTGTGGGTGGTCCACACAGCCCGTGAGCACCACCCTGGTCTGTTTTCACACAACCGGGGAGCAGTGATGGGGAGGTCTCCACCTCTACAAACCCTCTAATGGGCTGATCCGGCATAGACCTACAGTGGTGGACCATAATCTTGGTACACCTTTTCAGCAGGAAATGCTCAATCTCTCTCCCCATGTCGGCAGGCAGCTCCTGTGGTAATTTCCACATTCGAGTCTCTGGATGCCGTCACACTTCCCAGTCTCTGCCCTCATCCAATAACAAATCCATGTATCCTGCACAGAACGGTAATTACTCTTCCCAGGAAAACAGGCAGAGAATGAATCACTGCAGACCAAACACTGTCATAGTTCATATCCGGCAGGCTCTCTCAGGTAACATATTCAGGGGCAGTTTGTATGCATAATGTTGTTTACGGAACATAAAACATGCTCGTCTTTCATATGAGAAGTTGTTATGAGGCTGACTGAATAACAGACAGGAAAACTGGCCCAGGAACACAAATAAAAAACAAACAACACAAATAAAAAGTTCAGAGGAGCAGTTGGTGACACGACTGCTGCCGATATGAGGGGAGCTCAGAGGGATCAAAACGTCGGGGGTAACAGTCTGGCAGACGGGGCGGTGAGACGGCTACGTGCCGGAGCCGGGGGTGTCTCTGTAGATTCGGTGTCACGTTCCTCGCTCTCGCCCCGGAGTCAGGCGTGCTGGATGGTCAGAGAACGACGGGGAGAGGCTCGACGGGCCGGATGGCGCTCGTCTGTGAGATGAAGGTCGCATGCGCTTTCGGAAAAGCCGCCCAAGTGCATCCTCATCCCGGTTTCCGATTCCTGGCTCAGACTGAGTGTCCTCCAACACGCCGCCATCCAGGCGAGCGGCCGCCAAGATATTCGCTTTTTCCCTCCCTTATTTCAGCCCCAGAATTCGTTTTTTTTGTCACTAATATTTATTTCACAGATTTCGCTGCAGCCGCTTTCCTTTAATGGCCGAGGACTTTCCCCATTATTGGAGCGGGGGGGGGGGGGGGGGGGGGGGGGTCGGCATGAAGGAAATCTTTCCTTCCTAATGAATCAAACGTTTCTAACCACATGGCTGCGCCGAGACTCCCTTGTCTATGGTTAACAAAGACACCAAACGGAGTAAATGACATCTCTAGCGGTGTAGCACTGAGCTAACTGTCGCTTTGTGGTACCGCTGGGACGTAATTCCGCCCAGTCGAGCAGGTAACCCATTTTCAACCCATGGTTGCACTTGAAAACTGGCTCTTTAAAAACTCTTAATTAGTACATTGAGGAACAGTCTGCACATTAATATGCATGAGCTCCTTTGCCTGGCTCCGCCCTGCCAATTGCAAAGAGGTGTGAGACAAGCTTATTGTGGGGCTTGGACTGGTTTTACCATCCTATTTTTATGGCGGTTCTCTCGGTTGACTCAAACCTCCACTACTACGAAGAAAGGCTTTCAGGCTGTCGGAGTGGAGGCGAGGACCAGCAGTCGACTTTAACGAAGCGGAGATCTCGGAGCACCACCCACGTCTCTGCCCAGCTTCTTCCAGTCTGCCTTAGCCCAAAACCCAGTTGCTCTCTCGAGGCCCAGTTGGCAGCCGCTCCCACAGGTGCAGTCTGGCTGATGGGTGTCCCCCGACGGATCCATCTAAAGCCCTGTGGCCTCGCCCGTCTCTTCTGCGTAACATCCGCTCACGGGAGCGAGGCATCGGCGGAAGCCGGACGCACTGGAGAGTGGTGGGGGGCCCCGCCCGCCTGGCCGCTCCTCCCTCCAGCTCGTCTGATTACTTTCTGTACAAAACTCAGACCACACTGCACCACGTGGCCTCCAGTCCCTCATCACTGCGGAGAGCCCAAGCTGCCAGAGCTGATTTATTAAAGACTTCAGTAGCAGGCTCCCCTGCTCGGGCAGGCCGGGGGAGGGGGGGAAGGGTGCTTAAAATCTGAAGAACGGGGATTGTAGCGACAGGGAACCTACTGATGGCCATGCTTGACTCCTCCCAAAACCATGTGCTTTGCGTGTATGACACGACGGCCTTCACGAGCTTAGCGTCTAACGTCTCCGGAGATCCGAGACTCCGGCAGACTTCCTCTCTGGCCTTCCGGCAGCTGTGGCTATTTCCAGGAGATACCCTGACCGTGCTGAAGACTTCAGCTGTCACTCCTGTAGGTACCTAGAAGATCTGTAACTGGGGCTTAAGGATCAACTTAAACCTCTGTGCTCACTGGCTGGTTCCGTTTCATCCGTCCATCAATCATCCATAATCACGGGCTCGCAGTGAGTCTGGAGCCTGGAGTCCAGCCCAGGGTAGAAGGCGGGGGGGCAGGCAGCATGGGAAGCCAGTCCGTCATAGGGCACGCAAAACTACACACTACAGCCAATCAATTCAGCTTTGAACTAAGGAAGGAGATCAGACTACCTGGAAGAATCCCACAGGGACATGAGAAGTACACGCTAAGAACATGCTAACTCCACGCACACATTGGTGGGGGCAGGAATTGAGCCCATAACCTTGGAGGGGGCATGCACACCTCCCCCCATTAACTTTCATTATAGCTGAATGTGAGACCTCTGCAATAGAGCTGAGAACTACGCCCCCTGTGGTCTGGGGGAAAATAAGGAGGGTTTGTACCACCATCAGGTAACTGGTGACAGAGCCAAGCATATAATTTTTGGAGAGCTGGGCTGTACTGCATTAGCGCTGTGGATAATTGCAGTAGTCGACGTAATGGTACTTAAATCTAGGTTTGTCCTACAAACCCGAATGAAAACACAGCAAATGAAATTAAAATCAGGAAATTAAAGTAGAGAGTCAGAGAACAGCGGAGGCACGAGGTTAAGTACCTGCAGCTGAAGACAATGAGCATTTCTGAAGATTTAGAGGAAAACGAATAACAGTTCTGAGAAATTACCGAGGGAAAGGTGTCACCTTTAGCGTAACCCCGAGCGGCACCACACCTGCACGTCTGCACCGGTGAAAAGCTCCCGCTAAAAATCACCAATTCACCAGATGCGATAAATCAGACACCTGAATCAGAGACACCACTTTCTTGAAGAAACTTTGTTTAGGACGACATAAAGAGATTTTTTTTTTTTTATCAATATTTTTCATTGTAGTGCTAATTCTTTTAAAATGAGTTACACTATAAAATGGATCGTTCTTGTTTAAAGCTTTTATAAATGATTTTTCTATTGATGATAACAAGATCATTAGATGCGTGTCGTAACCCATTAAGTGCAGCAAAAAGGCCGTCCTACCTGCCCATTAAGACGCTACTGCGTGACACAGCGACTCCGAATCGGGTAAACAGACCCGGACAAGGCTGGACGGCTGCAGCCATGACGACATGATGCAGGGCGGGGAGGACGACGACGACGGCAGCGGCGTCTCAATGGACCAAATGGCTTTTCTACAATTAACACTGTGCTCTTACACACTTTTAAAAGAGGCTGTGAAGTAACAGTAGTTTTGCAAATGCTGTAAGACTGTGCGCCTAGTCAGCAGTACAGCAAAGCCCCTGGGTATTACGACATCAAACAACAGGGCCATCTCTGGGTACTACATAAGGCTCCTGGGAAGCCAAGGCCCACAACCCAGAAACAAGCATTTAACTAGCAGTAGAGGTTAGTAAGTCAGAGTAAAAACACATCGATCCTGATATTTGAGTTTTCAAATGTACATATTTAAGCTTCAATTAGACACTAATTATCAGTGCAAAAAACAAAATTCAGACAGATCAGAGCTAAACTGCCAATAAACTATTAAATTACAACGAATCCATTACATTTTAAAGTAGAATTTATTGCAAATTTACATTTCAAAATTTAATTTGAAACATATCTATAGTTTTAATTTAATTTAATTTAACAACAAACTTTAAGTATGATGACATGAGCATTTCCATGATTGATTTTATTGCATTCTTACACTCGAATGTCTGACAACACAACACTCGTGTCTCTGCACACAGAACATCAGATCAGCGATGCTGAAACGCACTGCGGGGGTCCTGGATACTC